AAAGAGAGAGAGAGAGAGAGAGAGAGAGAGAGAGAGAGAGAGAGAGAGAGAGAGAGTTCTTCTTCTTCCTCTTCGAAGTCCACCATCTCTTCTTCCCCTCTCACCACCGGACTTCTCAGTATCAGCGGACTACTACAGAGAGAGAGAGAGAGAGTTGTGACTTGAGACTTGACGACATTGGATCCAGACTCGACATTGGGATTCAGACATTTTGCGAGGGACTATTTGGGCCTGTGCCGAAGACTTGGTGCTGACGACATTCCCATCTTCCCCTCTTCTTCGTCTAACCCCCCTCTTCTTCGTCTGTGTATGGTTGGGGCTGGCGCATCTTTCCTGTGTGAGCGCCGGACCCCTTCACACCATGGAATGATGATGATGATGTATGTTCAGGGCTGCATTGCAATATTGATTGTTCGGATCATTGGTATCTAAGTCTTCCGCTACGCTATCTTGTACTTTGTATTGAGAGGTCGGTTCTTGTTCTGGTCTGCACCGTTACAGTATGCAACAGTTTGGCATCGGAGCGGACCTCTCATTCAGAGGACCCGCTCAATCAAGTAGCCAGCTTGCTTGATCTATTGATTACTCATTAGTAAATCAAGTAGGACTTCGTCAAATCTCTGAAAAAAAAAAATTATCGCAACAACTATCTGAAAATTTCTGATAATCCAATTTCGTTTTACCTGAAATTTCTGATATTAGTATTTCGTTTCACGCAAACAAATATCTGAAAATTTCTGATAATCGCAGTTCGTTTTATCTGAAAATTCCTGATAGTAGCATGTCGTTTCTCTTATATTTGCATACATAGCTGAAAATTTCTGATGTTAACATTTCGTTTTCTAGGCATATTAGGATAACGATAGAAGTGGTCATATTCTCGGAAACCGGATTTATTCTTTTCTGAAAATCGAATTTCCATTCTATCTAGCAAATTTGTTTTTGAAAAACGGAATCATGCGAAGCCCACCAGCAGTACGTTAGGCATATTAGAAGGTTGCCATATTCTCAGAAACTGGATTTAGTTCTTTTTCTGAAAATTGCATCTCTACTCTATTTCGCAAAAGAAAAAATAAAGATCGCATTTTGTGAAAGCCGAAACTTTGCGGAACCTAGCCTAGATCTCGCTCATAGTACTCTTCTGACATGTCTCACTCATAACAGATCGACAGATATCCAAAAAAAAAGAAAAAAGCAAGTATTCCTCTTTTATTTTTTTTATTTTTATCTGTTGATTAGGGCCGGGAGGAAAGTATTGTTGGGTTGGTTCCTACCTGCGTTTTCCCTCCCACCCACCCCTTTGCATGCATTTCCGAGTCGGTACAGTGACACGTCAGCAACAGTTCCACGTCAGCAGTGCCACGTCAGCAACAGTGCCACATCAGCAGTGCCACGTCAGCAACAGTGCCACATCAGCAGTGCCACGTCAGCAACAGTGCCACATCAGCAGTGCCATGTCAGCAGTGCCACGTCAGCAGTGCCACATCAGTCAGTGCCACGTCAGCAGTGCCACATCAGCAACAGTGCCATGTCAGCAGTGCCACGTAAGCAACAGTGCCACAGTGCCACGTCAGCAGTGCCCTGCCAGCATGATAGGCTCTGTTCTAAGCATGCCAGGCCAACTGGCAAATGAGTCCATTGCCGAGTACCGACAGCGTTTCGAAACTCAGCTCGCACTAATCGCGGCTGAGGAACAGCGCCAGCTGGCAGCCGAGGGTGTCTGCCTACAGGCTGAAGCGGCGGCAACAGCTGAGAAGCAGCGGCTTCAGGCCGAAGCAGACGCAGATACCCAGGCGCGCCGCAAGGAAGCCCAGGATCTGCTTCAGTGGCATGAAGCCACCAGCATCGAAAAGCTCAAGTTTTGGCACTTTGAACCATCCGAGGAGCACGACGACGCGACCGGAAGAGCAGCATAAGGAATTCATGGCCAAACTTGTGACCAGGTTGGTTTACACTTGTAACCACCTGCAGTGCGAGTTGGCGAACCTCCAGCGGGCCATACGGAACCACAAGGCTCAGCACGAGGATGCAGCACGGGCACTCAATTCCCGTGTACAGGACTTGGAGCAAACTGCACCAAGACCGGAGGCTGGCGAGTCCAGCAATGCACCCTCTGCCCGCCAACTGGAGGAACGAGTTGATCACGTAGTCACAATGCTCGGCGACATCAGTACCTTCACTGCACCAGCCACCATCAGCAATCAGCTGGACACCTTGAAAACCGAGGTTCAGCAACTGCACCAGCTGCCTAACAAGGATAGCAACGTGGTGCAACACTACAAGATGCCGACATTCCAAATCGAGAAGTTCGATGATTATACTCATCAAGACCCGGTCCTCTGGTTGGAGGGCTTTACAACGTAACTTCGGATTCTGTTCGTCGTCAAGCACGCATACATTGGCGCCCTGAACTCAAAGGGTGAATGCCTGATCTATTTGAGCCACCTGGCAACCGTCCACGGCGTCGACGTCGCAGATCTGAAAGACAAGATCTCTTGGGAAGAGTTAACACGACTATGGAAGAAGCGTTTCATCATGGACGACGCCCCGACGCTCGCCATCAACCACCTCTTCAGCATGACGCAAGGCAACACATCGACACGTGACTAGCTCACAGAATGGCAGAAGATCGCGGCGACGCCCGATCTTGACTTGCCATTTTCGCATCTGCGCCGCGAGTTCTACAACCGGTCATGTGCCGCCTTGAGCCTTTCACTTGGTGATTGCGAGTAATACGCGACCTTCGCCGAAATCATCGACAAGGCAAGGGAGATCATCAAGACCAATAGGGCAGCTGCACATGAGAAATCAGCATGGCAGCCAACCTATGTGGAGAAGGTGAAAACTGGTCCGCGGCCGCAGCATGTCGCTGCAGTCCAATCGGACAACATTGTGGAAGACCCGGCAGCCACCCAAGCGTCACGTGTGGGAGATTAGGTGGTTGTTGTCCAGCCGCGAAGCAACAACAAGTCCCGAGGAAACGGGAAGGCGAAAACCGCATCGCCGGTCGGAAACGGACAGCCAGCACCATGGGTCAAGTGTCACTTGACCGAGGCGGAATACAAGTGGCGCGGCCACTACGGCTGCTGCTATTGGTGCAACAGCACCAAGACCTCCCAATGCCCGGATCAAGGCAAGGAGGATGTTCGGCCTCGTATCAACTCGGGAAACTGAGTTCCTCGGCAGATGAGGCGACTCCACCTCTCACTCCGCCAGATTCGGCCGCCTTGCTAGCGGCCTCCTACACATCTGGGGAGGATACGAATGTCGCAAGTCCTCGGTACACTTACGAGGATTATGCTCTCCACTTGGTCCCACCGTTGGACCAACCGCTCCACGTGCAACAATCTACCGCATGCACGGTTTCATCACCATCGGCAATCGATTTGGCAGCTTCGCCGCCACCTATCGTCAGGGATTCAACGTCATGGTCAAGACTTGAAGAGCTCAACCCGTTGACATTTGCGGACTTCCAATGGATGCCCCTTCCCCGGTCTGGTCGATTGCCAAAACCGCATTGCAACGTGCTCATGGCACAATTGCGGGATTACTTGCACACTGCAGTACGAACTCCGTTGATGGACGCCGGAGTAGAGGTTGTCGACCTTCACGCCTACATTGCGAAGATCGACCGCGAGTTCAAGACACAACGGTACGACGACATCGACGCACCATTGTTATATGTACGCATTCAGATCGGAGAGGCGACTTGCAGCGCTTTGATCGATTGCGGAGCATCTCGCAACTACATGAGTCAGAACTTTATGGTACGCGCCGGCATTGGTCCACGCATCCGGAGGAAGTCCTAGCCTACGCAAGTCACGTTGGCAGATGGTCACACGCACAAGTTAATCGACCGGTGCATAGATGACGTCCCCGTGTACTTTGCCCCACATGCAAGCGAGGCGGTGTCCTTCGATATCTTGGACACCAAATTCGACATGATCTTGGGCATGTCATGGCTGCGAAGCGAGGATCACCAGTGAACTTCTACAGCCGCACCGTTCACGTTCGTGATCGGAACGGAGTACTAGTCCCATGCACGGTAGCTCCTCCTCACCCTTCGATCAGCTGCCACGTGGTGTCTGCTGCAAGCATGCGAGCTTCCATCATCAGAGACGACATCGAGGAGATGAGGGTGTGTTTTCTCCACGCCCTCCCGCCCCATGACGCTTCATCGACGGACTCATCTTTGGACCCACGCATCACCGAGCTTGTCGACGCCTACGACGACGTGTTCGAAGGCCCGCATGGAGTAGTACCGGATCGACCCATCCGCCACGAGATCATCCTCGAGGACGGGGCCGTACCTCCGCGCGGTTGCATCTACCGAATGATCGAGGAAGAGTTAAGTGTGCTACGGGCACAACTCGACGACCTTCTGGAGAAAGGTTGGATTCGGCCTAGCTCATCGCCATACGGTGCTCCCCTTCTCTTCGTCCGGAAGAAGAACAAGGATTTGTGGTTGTGCATCGATTATCGCAAGCTCAACGCGCAAACGATCAGAAACGCTGGCCATCTTCCACTCATCGACGACCTTCTCGAACGGCTGGGCGGCGCCAAGTTCTTCTCCAAGCTTGACCTCAAGTCGGGATATCACCAACTCGAGATTCGGCAGTAGGACCGCTACAAGACCGCGTTTAAGACGCGATCTGGGCATTTCGAATGGCTGGTTATGCCATTTGGCCTTACGAATGCCCCGGCCACTTTCCAAGCGGCTATGACAACGGAGTTCCGACACATGCTGGATCGATTCGTACTTATCTATCTCCACGACATCCTGGTGTACAGCCGGAGTTTGGACGAGCATGTGGAACACCTGCGCACCGTTTTGGAGCGGCTACAACAAGCCAAGTACAAAGCCAACCGCGACAAATGTGGATTCACGCGGCAGGAGCTGGATTACTTGGGACATTATGTGATGCCGCAAGGCATCCGTCCGCTTGCGGACAAGATCGAGGCCCTCCGCGTATGGCCCGAGCCCTTCAACACCACGGACGTTCGTTAATTCATGGGGTTGGCGCAACTTGGCGAGCTACTATCCGCGATTCATCAGCGGGTACTCAAGGATTGTTGCACATATGACGAGATTACAATCGCCAAAGGTGCAATTCGTATTCGATGATGACGCGCGCCGGTTATTCCAAGCACTTAAGACGGCCACGCTCATGGCACCCGTCCTTAGCATCTATGACCCCACCCTGCCTACGAGAGTGACAACTGACGTTTCTGGCTATGGCATTGGGGCAGTCTTGGAACAACACGACGGCGACGACTGGCACCCTGTGGAGTATTTCAGCCACAAAGTACCTCCCATCAATTTGCTTGATGATGCAAGGAAGAAGGAGCTGCTCGCGTTCGTGATGGCTCTCAACCGATGGCGACACTTCCTCCTTGGGCGTCGTAGGTTCACATGGGTTACGGACAACAACCCACTGACCTACTACAAGACGCAGGATACGGTGAGCAGCACGATCGGACGATGGATGTACTTCATCGACCAATTTGACTTCACACCGAAACATCTCCCCGGCCTCTCTAATCGCGCAGCAGATGCACTCTCGCGAAGACCTGATCTTTGCGCTATGACACATCATGCCTTCGCATTCACCGAGGAACTCCAGCAACACTTCATCCAGGGCTATGTGTCTAATGCGGACTTCGCCACGTTGTATGCACAGCTATCTTCGGATCACCCGTCGGCCAACCACTATCGCATTGCCGACGGGTACTTGCTCCTTCACTCGAGAGGCAAGGACTTATTGTGTGTCCCACGAGACCGTCGTCTTCGGACTAGCCTTCTCGGGGAGTACCATGACTCGCGACTCGCGGGCCATTTCGGAGCCAACCGCACTATTGCACGGTTTCGACAATGATTTCGATGGCCCGACCTTATTACCGATGTCACTCGGTATTGCGACTCTTGCGAAGTTTGCCGACGAAGCAAGCCCCGCAATCGCAATCCCTACGGCGAGTTGCGCCCGATGCCTATCCCACGGGAACCCGGTCTCTCCATTGCCATGGACGTCACCGGACCGTTTCCTCGCGACCGGCTCGGGCACGAGGGCATCCTCACGGTTGTGGACCGTTTGAGTAAGTATGCGCGTTTTCTCCCTTGCAAGTACTACTCCACGGCTCTTGAGCTGGCACGCCTCTTGCACACCGGTTGGATTTGCGGCCACGGTGTACCGGAAGACATAGTCAGCGACTGCGACACTCGCTTCATGTCGACATTTTGGACTGCTCTCATGCAGGAGTTCGGCACGAAGATGAAACTAAGTTCGGCTCGGCATCCACAGACGGACGGGCAAACGAAGCGGGCACATCAAACCACTCAAATGATGCTTCGTACGCTCATCCGTCCGGACCAGAAAGATTGGGTTGACCGCCTCCCCGACATCGAGTTTGCCTACAACACTTCGGTGCACCCAGCGATCGGCGTGACTCCATTCGAGTTGCACCACGGTGGACGGAAAGGCCGTATCTTCGCCGACCTTCTCCTCCCACGACCAACCGACATCGACGCCGCTTGCTCTCCCGCTTCCGTTCGGAAGTACAGGTAATTGTTGGCTCAAGCCCGAGCAAATATGCAAAAGGCTCAAGGCCACATGCAGCAGCAAGCCAACAGGTGTCGCATGCCATGTCCCATCCACGCCGGAGATCTGGTTTGGGTCTCCGTGGAAGAGTTTGCATTGGAACAGGATGTTTCACGCAAACTGCTTCCCAAGTGGTTTGGACCATGGCCCGTAACATCAGCCGCGGGCGATGAGCCCGATGGCCCTTTGTGATCAACATCCCCCCGCATCTGATGGTCCATCCAGTCTTTCACGCCTCGAAGCTGGCAACATATACACCAGCTAAGAGCGACGACTTCCCGGGCCGACGATCGCAGGACCCTCCATCTATGGATGGTCATCAGAAAGTTCACCGCGTCATCACAGATCGCAAGTACGGCAGTAAGCCTCGACAGTACAAAGTTACATTCAAAGCATGCGATCGAGACGACACTCGGTGGATTTCAGGAACAGATTTGAAAGCATCCGCACCGCTGATCTACGCTCACTACGAGCGACAAAGGTTAGCTCAGGGACCTTCACGACCTGCCCCTCCCACCCGGATTGTGGTCCCTCCCTCAGACAGACAGCTTCGCCCTCGGAGGTAAGCTCGGTCTTTCAAGGAGGGGGGGGGGTGGCATATTGCGTAGCCACACGGGCCTGCAGGGCCCGTCCCGCATTCTCAGCCGAAAAGCCTAGAAATAAGGGCTTACAGGCCGCTGTCGTTTCAGCCTGAAAACTAAAAACAAGGGCCTGCAGGCCCTATTTCATTTTCAGCCTAAAACAAGGCTTTTCAGCCCTGAGGCTTTTCAGCCTGAAACGGAGGGCCACTTTCGGGCCCTCATAAGATCGACCTACCCTAACGCTCAGGCACAAAACCAGGGTTTTCGGGAACAGGCTATTTCTGGCCTGTTCCCACGACAGCCTCAAGCAGGAGCTGCAGCGGCAGCCCCTGACTCCCTGCGGCATTGGCAAGAGCAGCCTCCTGGACTGCCTCGCCCTGCAGACAGGAGGCAGGCTGAGAAGTACATAGGGAGTTCCCATGCACTTCACGGGTAGGTAGTTGGATAGAAGGCAGGAGTAGTTTCAGGATTCGCCCGCAGCACTCAGGAGGAGCGCTGCAGGAGTAGCTTAGCACTAGCAGTAGTTTTCAGCGCTGGGCGCTAGTAGCCATAGCAGTAGTCTTCAGCGCTGGGCGCTAGTAGGTGGTAGTAGTAGAGTTGGGAGAGATGGCTGGCGGAGGCCAGTGGAACTTACCTGTGGCGCCATAGGTCCAGCTCCATCTTCGAGGTACCTGCATCAAGGCGCCAACTTCACGGGTTAGTACCGGACTGAGAGAGAGAGAGAGAGAGAGAGAGAGAGAGAGA